CAATTTTTGAACTGACCTAAATATTGGAGTATATAGCCTAAACCCAGCAAGGTGGGAGCCTATTGGAGGTCTTCATTTACTGAAACCTGCTAGAGTGAACACCTGCATCTTTTTAATGGCTTAGGGCCCCCTGGCGGAGAGCTTCCGAAGAGTTGCTAGAGTGGATGACCTGTCGGAAGATGGTACTTAGGCACTCCATGCATGCGTGTGGGATATTAAAGTTGCTTGAGCTCCACTTTCCTTGGGAGGAGAAGTGGGGTGATCGAGTTGAAAACTAGGACAGCCTGGTTGTCAAGACAAATCAGTCAGAACGCATCAAGGCCACCGGGGAGTCCGTTCCAAGAAGTGTGTTGACTGGTTTTCCTTGCCCCCCAGAGAGCACTAGAGAAGACAACTAACATCAACTATGTTTTTGTTGACAATAGGAGTAACAATGGTTTTCCAGGAACTTTCTACATCTAAAACGACAATCCACCTACTTGCGCTAGTCTTTGCTGTTTGTTGACTCAGGATGCTGACGGCTATGACCTGATCCAGCTGCCCGACGGGCAACTGACCAAGGCGCGAGGGGGGGCGGGACATCCCAACCCTCGCGCAAGATCGGGGGGAGATCGCGGGCATTCCCCAACGACTTTTGGGCGCGTATGTGCGTTCTGGTGGACGGGTGGGTGTCTCAGTAGCGGGTGGAAGCGAAACTGGAAGCATTTGGTGGTGACTGGGCAAGATGGTGGGACCATGGACTGTTGAGAGAGCTGCAGCCCTGGTGGAAGTTGGATTTGTAAATCATTGTAAATAAATCTGAGTGTATACCTGGACCCTCTAGTTTGTACCCTACAAACTGGGACAAGGCTCCATAGAAATTGTACTTACTGACTGTATAATGCTGTATACTACTATATACTGTATAACTGGATATGGCTAGAAATTGATTAATCCTGTCCACCTATTAAAAACACGGCCCCCCTCCCTCCCCCTATTAAGAGAGACTCGTTCGCATTTTTTAAAATAGGGGGTCCCTGAAATCGGGGGGTCCAAAATAGGGTCACCTGGGAAGAGCTTCAAAACCAACAAGTAATCCAAAAACAAATTAGATAAAATCCTTCATTAAACGCATATCGAACATTCAAACAACCTCCAGATCGAAGGGTCTTCCTTTCCCCTACAAAAACCTTTATTAGAATACTGATTCTTCATTAGACTGACTAACAACCAAAGCTTTCGAAAGGTGATGTCGCTGTGCCATGCGATTTTGCACGACCTCGGTGGCAACGTGAGTCCGTGCCATTGGAGGAAAGAAAACCTGCTGATGTAAACGATTGAGACTCCAATTCTCATGAATTGGCTCATATCTCCCTGCTACCTCCTGCAATCACCTCACCAACCATCATAGGGCCTCATTTTTTGTAATCAGATGAAGATCAAGCAGAATGTCAACTTCAAGCATCAAAGCTTTTGCAGAAGACTTTTGGTCTGAGTTTCAATTGCACTGACTCAGGTCTGGAGTCGACCTGTGAAAATACCTCGGAAACTTAGTAGTTACAGTCCTACCTGCTTATTATATACCTAGAGCCCCTTGGCTCATTTGACCTCTCCTTTGATAGGAAAGACCATATTTTGGGTGGTTGGTGGTCCAAAATAGGGGTCACTCAGGCTCTAGGCATAAATAAAGAATACATAAACAAAATAAACATATCATAATACTGTAGTTATATGTGTGTGCCGCGTACGAACAAGTCGGGTCCGACCCATGTTCGACTCGTCGTCTTGTGGGGCGTCGCCAGGTCTTCACACGTCGCGAGTTCCGCCTCCCCAACGATGCCTTCCGTGCAGCACTCAAGGGGTCCAAGCGGAAGCCGATGGAGCGCCAGGCTGGGAGGAAGCCGGACGAGAGTGTCTCAACTGAAAGGCTGAGAAGGGCCAAGGGTTCTGGGTGTGATGGGAAAACATATAGGAAAACACACCTGTTTTCACGCTGGATGTTGGAACATGATGCGAACACTCAGGATGGAGCACATGTTTTTCTTCACCTTAGCTTCTTCACCTTGGAGGCATCACCGTTCGGGAAGACCCTCCGAAAGCGGGCCGCCGGGCCCTGTCAAAACCAGGCCCACCAGGTTGGTTGACCTGGTAGTCTGATGTCTGTGGTAGTCTGCCAAGTTCTCCCGGGATTCACCCACAGCCATGTGGGTGTGTATTGAAAAGTGTATCAGTGGCGTCAGACTTCCTATTACACCTTCACTCAATTCAAGTGCCCGAACTCCACTGGATGCCGTCAGGAGTCTTAAAGATCTTAAAGCAAGATAAAGCAAGGAGGTTCTCCCAACATCCCTTCATCTCTCCAATCGAGTTAGCAGCTTGTTGGCCAGCAGGGTACGTACAACTTCGGATCTGTCGATGAACTACATCCACATCTCAATGATCAACTCAGCGTACCAATAGACTCACAGCCAAGAATAAGCATGAGTACAGTAAGCTATAATCATAATCAATCCATAGGCTGAAGGTGTTTGGTGCTTTTTGATGGGATTCAGCTTCATAGCTTAAAACACTTGATATATGTTATTATATGTATATATGTGCCCGAGTGCAAACACCGTATCACCAAGCGGTTGAACTCGTTGCTTCTTAACGGACACCAGACTCATCCCCGATCATCCCAAAATTCACTGTGCAAGACTGGGGTGACTCGAGGCCCTATGGACCATCCTGTCGGTGTGTCCTGGCTGGACTTCCCTACACTCCTGGGATCTCCAGCAAGAGCACCCCATGGATGGTCCAGTGTCAAATAGTCCCAGACACGACCAATGGGACTGCCATATATGCTTACATTGACCCCTAAAACCACCCCAATGTAGGCATATATGGCAGTCCTATGGAGTGTTTGGGAGTCTGAATTTCAATAGGGAACCCCGACATCACTTTACCGGGTAGACTGGTCTATTTCCCGAACCTTCTAAGGGGATGGGAACGCCTGGGAGGTCGACACACATTTTTTCATACACGCCTACACCGACACTCTTGCAGGCCCAACTGGGACGACTCACACAGTTGGAGCTAACGTTGGGGTTGCCATGCGACCCTTCCAGGGTAAAGTGGTGAGGTGGTGCAGGATTTCGTCCATCAACAGTACCAATGGATCGTGCATTTGAATTGAACCGCCCAGGTGAGGTTGAAGTGAAGATCCACCCACCAGAGAGGCGGTGGAAGCTGAAGGCTTCTACCGACAGCATTGACTTAGACTAATTCCATGGGTGCGTGGGCCATTTCTGTTTGAAGCCGGGCTTGTCTAGACTTGGTTGGGTGCTGAACATCGACATGCAGAGAAAATGTTGCATGGTGCACCTTATTTGCTGTTTCTTTCAAAAGACGTGTATTTGTTGCATCCGTTCGATGAAAATGTCCCATGTTCGCCGTTTTTCAGTCGGATCTGGCTTTTTGAGCAATATTTTGAGGTGCTTTCCTTGTATAGTCGGACCTCGCAAAGGCCAGACTGCTCCCATTTTCGCGCCGCCGAGACAAGTCTCGCGCCGGTCGGATTTCCAATGTCCGAAAGCAGACGGAAAAATGCAGCTGGATTGTTGTCTTTAGTGCCCATTTGCAGCTGTGCCCCTGCATGAGGCAGCTGGGTGCGGTGTTTTTTCGCTGTTCAGAATTGGCTTCGTTTGACCGACCTGAAATCGAAGATGCCGGGAGTCGATCACCTGTTTGGGACTATTGCCCGAGAAAAGGTGAGGGGTTGTTGAAGAGGGGTCTCGTTCCAACGTACGTGAATGGCACATGACCCGAAAGCCAGAAATGTGCCAAGCCTAGCTTGTATATATATTACCCATGTTCTGAGGTACGAACTGAGACTCCAGGTATACCGTGTTTTATTGGTTCCTCCGGGACGCCGATTGGTCGTTTCTTCTGCGCTCATACGATGCATCGAAGGACGGTTCGGTCTCCCGATGGTTCTCACGTTTGTTCGGTGGTTTTGGAACGTCCTCTCTATATCATATATATATATATTATAATATATAGAGCATCGGACTTCAGGGGACACGACCCCAAAATTTCGCAGGACCTTCCAAGAGGTGTTTATAACTAGCCGCTAGCCTCTTAGAGGTGATTCGGGGTGTCCAAAAACCACCTGTTGGAGGGTCCTGGTATAATTGTAGAGTATGGCAGTATCATTTTGGTTTTGAATCTACCAGCCCACCCCGAGTCCATAGGTTGCCATGTTGCAATAACTGCATAGACGTCCCGAGATTCAGAGATTTAGAGATCTGAGTTTGGGAGGATGATTCCTATAGATTCCTTCAGGTGAGGGGGTTTCAGACTGTTTGACGGCTTTATGGATCCACTTCACATACCAGGCCGGCCGTGGGTCGGCTTGATTTCCACCCGTTTGCGGAAGTTTTTCCACGGTCTTCGCCGAAGATCGGCGATCGTGAGAAGTCCGGACCTCTGGGTGTCCATCCGATGGACACCACACCCGCCGCCTCGGGGAGTGGTCCCTCACCGTGGAGAGCGGTCCACCATCACCAGATGTCGTGGGGAGAGACCTGGGGTGTCGACCGGTACAGACTCTACAGACATCTACAGACTGCATCTACAGACTGAGGTACACACACTCCGGGTTGACACAACTCTTCCTGGACCTGAGGTAGACCCTTGTCGGGTAATCTGATAGAAAATGATACATCACCCAAACACAAAACAGGGTTGCGACATGTTGCGACGGTAATGTTCCGAGGAAACGGGTTGACTCCAGGTTGCTGTGGTTTCAGAGTAGATGTCACTAGACAGATGGGGGTCCATATTGACCACCAAACCTCGGGGCCCAGACGTGCCATCGAACCTCTGAAACCCACTGTACCAGGAGTTTCATGGAGTTGGATGCGGACTCCATGGAGGGCTCAGTGAATGGGTGCCCTTGTCACATCCATTGGATGGGACGAGGCACACCACCACAACCCGAGCGACATGTGACCCCTGGTAGAAGTCCTGGTAGTCGTCAGGTTGCTCGAGAGCTCTTGGCCAAGCTACCACCACAAGACTTTGATGGTGCGCCCCGCAGCGTTTTGGAGCGAGCGGAGCGAAGCGCGAAGTCGGACGGAGCGACGCTCCATCCGGGCATTGGACTGGACTTCTATAGGTTCCTTAATAGATGGTGGTCACTAGGACAAATCCAGTGGGGCCTGGTAGGACAAGAGGCGGATCCAGTAGTCCTGCCTCAAATTGAGGCATGCCTCAAGGGCACGAACCTTATGGCACGAAGATACACGGAAAGAATGTGTTTTTTAATCGTTTAAATGGGGTCAAGTCGACTTGGATACTCCATAACAATGAACAAGTGAGCTACTTGGAAGGAGGATCCCAGTGTGTTCGATGCTAGAAACGCCCTAAAACCTCCCTCGACTTTGCTCGCCACTCGACGACTTTGCTCGCCACTCGACGACTTGCCCCTCGACAGGCGTGGTTTTCTTAGACCCGAGCGATCGGAAGATGATCTTGCTGAGGTGGAGGGAGGGTTGACCGAAAACACCGGCGGACTGTGATTCCTGAATACAGGGGCAGGGGGTGTGTTGAACTTCATCGCAGCAGGGCAGCCAACCACGGAGCATGGAACTGTAGTGCGGTAATAGTAGTGTTTTGTATCTGCATGTTTGTATATATATATATATACCTAGAACCTCTTCTTGGGCAGAAACTTCTGCCTATTATGGGTAAAGGCGGCCGTGCCCATGCTTAGGCGTTCTTGCCCCCTGTAAGCGTTCTTGTCCCCTCTGGGCGTTCTTGCCCTTTTGGTGGCATTGCTCAAAAGGATGAGGATCCACCCACCACTGATTCCAGGAGCTTTCATAGAGGTACATTTGTTTGTCATGAATTCACTTAATGTTTCTCTTGTGATCTCTTTTGATTGTTTTTGATTGTTCTATGCTTTGATTCATTACTTTATGCGAATGGAAGTGCAGCGACACGTACAGTGCAACTTGTACATATATATGTACCATATGTACTTTGGCTCAAGGATCAAACGACTAGAAAAGGTGCGGTTTCCGTTCCGACGCTACGCCGCTTATGGACCGTCAGTGATAGCTTCAAACTTCGCTGATTAAGATCCACTCGCAGGTTATCAGCCGTACGCGCTCTTTATAGCCGTACGAGCTACACGAGACCAAGAACAAGACTAGTCATTACAGAAACCTGCAATGTCAAGCTCAGGAGGAAATGGAAGCGAGCCCTATTCATTCGCTGCTCCTGGTGGTCCCAACACCATTTCGTCACCAGACTCTACAATGGGTACTGATTCATCAGCAAATGCTGACGTTATCACTATGCCTACTGGATCACAAATCTCGGAAAGATCCGTGCCACCGGCTCGGAATCTGACCGATCTTGCACCCGTAGGACCAAGAAGATCGATGAGAGCTACAACAAGATCTACATCGCCTATAACGTCTACCGCGAGATCCCCAAGAAGGAGTATAGAGAAGAGACGTGACGATGATAGAGGAACAAAAGAGCAAAGAAGAGAGATTCAGCTGGGTGAAGAATTGAGATCAGCGAGAAACGCATACAATTTTCTTCATGAAGAATATGAATGCATCCAAGCCGGATACTCACGACTACACCACGAGGCTGAAGTGGAGTTCAGGCAAATGTCTGACTACAACAGGAAGATGCAGGAACATCTACAAGAGATGACACAGGAAGACGAAGGAGCGACAATAAGAATTGAAGAGCTTGAACACAAGCTACGCTTGGCGGAATCGACAGCTGAACATATCTACATGAGATATCAAGAGCTTGCACAAGAAACTCATCAAGAACATTCAGAGCTTGAATCTGTGAAAGCAACGAAGGACAGAATGTCCCAAGAGCTTCAAGCAGCAATTGGACACATCCAAGAACAGAATGAATCTTCATTGGCGATCAATAGAAGATCAAAAGCCATTCAGGATGAGAACACAGCCTTCGTCGGAATAGCTGACCAGATACAAGCTAGAATGATTGCGCTACAGGATGAGAATGTCAACATGCACGAGGTGATCCAACACCAGAGAGAAGAACAATGGAACAGTGAGGTCAGGGAAAGACGTCCTCAACACAGTGTTCACTCATCTCAAGGTCAGAGCAATCAGGAAGCTATGGTTATTGATCATCTACGAGGTCAACTAGCTATGGCACGTGGAGCTGAACTCAACGCGAGAGCGGAGATAGGAGAGATGGAAGTGGGCATGAGGATGGAGATGTTTATATGCCAGACTGAAGTCTCTGCTAAAGAAATGGCAGAAATGAAGGCGAGCCACCATGAATACGAAGCAAACGTCGCAAAGGAGGTTATCGCAAAAGGAGAAATATTCAACAACGAAGTCCTAGAAAGTTCCATCCGTGAACGACAACAATTGAAAGATGTCAACCTCGCTCTATCCGAAGCCAACGCACAGCTGAAAAGAGAGAATATGATGAGAGCTCCTATGTTCGGCGATGATGGTGCTGAAATTCAACAGAAGATCAGAGAACTGGAGAATGCACTATTGGAAAGCCAGAAGGAGACAAAGAATGTCATTATGGAAAATGCGAAATTAAAAGCAGAAGCACGAATGGCACCCATAGTCTCTCGGTACAGCAAGCGTCCTAGTTCCAGAGACCGCGGGTTACCAACCCACGCGTCCGAGGAAGATGAGGTTCGGAACGCAAAAGAGGAGGCGAAGCACTACAAGGACGGGTACAATGAAATGACAGAGAGCCGAGATGAGATGTATGAATGGTATGCCGAAACCCACAATGAGTACGCCGAGGAAAGGGAGAAATCAATTGAGCTATCCGAGGCGAACAAATCATTGAGGGACAAGATTTCAGAAGCAGAGGCATCCTCTTCATCTCATCTTGCACCGGCAACCTCTACTGTCATGAAAGTATCGAGGAAGGAAGAATCAAAGATAAACGTTCCGTCATGGCCCAGGATCAATGATCTTGGACTATGGAAGGCAAATCTCATTCAATCGATCATCATTGCGGCCAATGATTCAGATCAAGAGCCCTGGATCGACTGGATCAAAGAAGCCATGGACGATCCTGATCCGGACAAGTTTGTCGACTCAGGAGACCAAAGATTCCATTCAATCGATGCCAAACTCGGCCTAGCTCTTACCAAGGTCGTCATGGATGCGAAAGATGATGGTTCAGGTGTAGCTATGAAGTTGAGGACGAGGATCAATGCAAAAGGGAGAACATCAAGCCTCATAAAGGGAAGAGAGGTCCTAGCCCTGATCCTTATGAATTTCAAGACAACATCAAATGTGGAAGTCTTATATACTTCAATGCACCTCTACCAACTAGAATATCAAGGAGACAAGAACTTATCGTTGTTCTTCCACACTTGGGATGAGATTCTGGCAGGAATGAAGCCCGTTGACGTCCCGAGCGACGAAACTCTTCGGGATCTCCTATGGAGAAAGATCAGGAACTCAAACCTCATGGCATACGACATCAGCGCCTACAATAGCATGAACGACGATGATGCCAAGAAGACATACAAACATCTACGTGATATGATCAGAAGGCACATCGAACGGCAAACTGAAGACAGGATGATCCTGGAAAAGGAGAAGGCAGTGAAGAATGTGGCCAATATCTTTCAGAATCTCAAACCAGGCGGACCTGCTCCAAAACTGAAAGCTGCACCAGCTGATCCGAAGAAGAAACCAAAAGGGCAACAAGAACAGGTTGTCTCAGAAGACGCTGCTGCAGTGAAGCCGAAACCCAATCCCAAGAAGCATCCTGAAGACAAGAACAAAAAGGGAAAGGGGAAAGGTAAAGGTGATGGAAAGGATCGCAGCCGAAGTCCGAGTACAGACAAGAAGAAGATACCATGCAAATTCTTCGTGAAAGGTAACTGCACTATGGGGAAAGATTGCCCATTCAGTCACAAGAAACCCAGATCACCATCCAGAGGATCTTCTGTCGGAAAGAATGACAAGCCAGTATGTTGGATGTGGATTCGAGGAACTTGTGACAAAGGAAAGGATTGCAAGTTCTACCATGACCCAAAAGCCTCTCCTAAGAAAGGGATATCTGCACCAGCTGACTCAGGAGACGATAGGCCAAAGCCCAAGGCAAAACCCAAACCGAAGCCTAAGGCGAAGCCTGGAGCCCCAGCCATTGACGGTGAACTCTTCATGGACGAATCCGAAGATGAAGGGATTGCTGCATCCGCCAAGGCAAGAGAAGGAGGTGCAAAAGTATCCTTTGATGAAGAGACTTGTGAGATCATGTTGAACGAAGCGATCTACTCAGTCAGGGACAAATGGAAGGTAGTAGAAAAGAAACCTCTACGTCCGGACATCAAACGATACGATGAGAAAGAGCTCACCTGCTACACGAGGAAAGAACAAATCAGATTTGAAGAAAAGGTCGCAGAGGCGAGAGGCATATTGATGGTCCCCTACACTGAGATCAAGAGGGTCCGAATACCAGTTGGACCAAAGGGTGACCTATCGGTCACTATGTCTTTTGACGAAGATGACGGCCTAGTTTTCCATCATAAAGTCATTCCTCATGTATGCGAGGGAAAGAAAGATCATGCAGACACAAAGACATTGTCTATTCCAGCCAAAGGATCAAGAACGAAGTTCATCATGGACACAGGATGTGGGTATGATTTGATATCGAAAGGCAGAGCCAAGAAATTAGGTCTGGAAGTGAGAGAAAGCGACCAATCAATGTCATTCTATACTGCAAATGGAGTGACATCCACAAAAGGAGTCGCCGACATTCATTTCGACGAATTTGACTCTACCTACTCCCCATTCGTCCTAGATGAGTCTCCTTCAGTACTGTCTGTTGGAAAGAAATGCATGGAGGAAGGATACACATTCATATGGCCAGCCTGCGGCAACCCGTACATGGTTTCCCCGAACTACAAGAAAATCATGCTAGAAGTAGAGGGAAACATCCCATATATTGTCAAGGGCAGTGACTTCTGTACTCCCACCGACGATACAAGGGCGGAGATGATCGCAAGGTTCACCCTAGGAGAAGATGAAGCTGATTACCAATCGACTTTCATCAACTGTGATGTGGATCCTCAAGGAATCATGTGTGATGATGACGACCTCCCTGTGATTGAACCTCCAAAAGTCAAAAGGCGAAAGAGGAATAAGAAGTTCAAGGCATCTCCTGGAGAAGAAGATGAGGTAGGATCAGATGTCGCCGGAGACAGTGAACCAGAAGCTGACGATGATGATGCAGATGACATCGAGGTGGATGTTGTTGACGGTGCAAGTAGAATGGTGAGAAGAGGAACTCTGAAAGCAGATGCCAGGAAAATCGAGCATCTACTCACACATCGTTACAAGAATCCCTACTGTGAGTCATGCATCAGAGCAAAGATGAAACACTTCAAGACGCATCGAGGAGCGTTCAAGAGAAAGCTCAAAGCTTTTGGAGATCTGGTTACCTTTGATTTTGTCGATACGAGGAACATCCTTGATCAAGGGATCAGTACTGATCG